ACTCATTGAGGGTATAGTCTGTGTAGCACCCTGTGTGTATTTCCTAATTTAATCCTTACAACAACTTTAAAATGTATGTACTATTGCCTCCATTTTACAGATGAGGAAACTGAGGCCAAGAGGAGACTAATCCAGCAAGAAAGAGGCAGAGGGAGAATTAGAACCCAGTCTGCCAAGGTCCAGAGCCCTCTCACAGCATCTCAAGGTTAGGAAGCAAGATAGGGATATTGTGAGGGAGACCCCAACTTGGACTCACTTGTGGGGTACAGGACTCAGCTCCGCAGTTGGCCAGGTCTAGGAACCCACAGAGGCACCTCTTAGCACTTTGAGCTGATCTCTGATGCCCAGGGAGATTTTCCAGGTGTATCCAGTGCTGCCTGGGGTGGACACAGTGAGCTGTGAACATCTTCACTCACCCAAGATCAGAGGCACTGCCAAGGGATGCCTGCTTTCACAGCATGGACACATCAGCTTATTATTTACTAAAAGCAAACCTTTCAAAATAAGAGGCCAGAAGGCTGACATGTGAAGTGGGGCTGGGGGGCAGGGTTCTGGGACCTTCTCTGGCTGCTCCTCACTCACAGGTGTGGCTTTGGTCAAGTCCCTGCCCCTGTCTGGGCTTGTCGGATGGGAGCAGGGGTAGGACTGGCCCTTCTCCAGTGGCCTCCTTGTCATCCTCTGAGTTTGCAGAGGGACTGAGAGGGATGTGTGTGCAGCCACCCCAAACAATTCCCTCCATCGAATTCTTCATCTAGAGAGAGACCAGTGGTATTAATAGCAACTTAATCTCTTTCAAATTCTTTGTGCTGCTAAAATGAAAGCAAAAATTCAAAGCTGGAAGAACAAAAAAAAAACCCTCCCTTCTGAGAATTCTGAGTCACTCCAGAAAGGTCAGTGGAGTCTAGGTTAACTCATTATTTCCCAGAAGGGCCTCTGGCTCTTCCGACACCCAAAGCTTAACAGAGGGAACATGAGAGCCACTCAGTTTGCAGGCTGTGCTCCTGGGACACTGTGGTTTCAGAGCGGGGTTTGGTCTCTTCTGGACTGGTCACAAGGCTCTGGGAGAGGCATCCCAGGGGCCACTGTAAGAGGCCACTGCTTACCAAGAATGCCACCCATGAGCTAGTGGACTTGGCCCTGCAGGGAGCTGGGGAGTCAGACTGACCTGTGGTTGACTTCCAGCACTGCCCCTCATGGGTGATGTGACTTAGGGCAAGTCTTTGGGCCTCTGTTTCCTCATCTGTAAAATGAGACTAATCGTAACGTTAAGAATAATAGTACTTACACTATCCACCTCAAGGCTTGCTGAGAGCACCAAAGGGGCTGTAAAGGCGCTTGAGGGGTCATGACTCTTAATGTTGGCCCCTGTGCCTGCTGGCACGTAGGCAGCCCCACAGGAAGCCACCCCCCTCCCATGACTGAGATGGGCAGGGTGGAGGTGTTCTGCCGTTGTGGATGGGCATGCCTGTGCTTTACGGCTGCTCTGTCAGAACAGCCCCCTCCTGCCCTCTCCCCACAGTCCACAGGGTCCTACAGCAGCTATTCCCAGGGGCAGAGTCTCTGCTACTCACCTAACAAGTGTGGGCCTTTCTGGGGTGAAAGGTTGGATGGAAAAACTAATGGACAGTTGTATAAATAGAAGATTAAGAAGTTGAGTGGTTGAACACATGGACCCACAGACCAATGGATGGATGAATGGGTGCGCTTGCCACCCTACATAGTGGGGATCATGCAGCCCCTGACAGTGGGCCCGCTCTTTTGTCCCTGTAAAACCCCTAGCCTCACAACCTGCTGCTTCCTCTCCCCTGCCCCACCACTATCTTATCCCCTCTGGGAACGCACACTCCAACTCTCCCCTGCAGGACAGCGAGAACCCATGTGGCGTTCAGCTGCTACACACTAGCAGAACTCCTGGTGGAGGGGACGGAGTAGAAGAGGGGAGAGATGAGGGGCCTTGAATCAAACTAGCCTGGGTTATAATCCTTGGCCTGCCACTTACTAGCTGTGTGGTCTTGAGCAAGTTGTTGCAGCTCTCTGATCCTTAGTTCCTTAATATATAAAATGGGAATAATAAACAAGATAGCATCTGAAATGCACCTCACATAGTGTCCGATATTCAGTAGGCGACCTAGAAATATCTGATGAATAAAAAGGAATAAAAGTATATTAGTTTGCTTTCTTTAATGAATAACCAGGGGCAGATAAAAATATTTAAATGTGGTTTAGAGGCTTTTGGCCTTTTCGGTGACACAAATCATTGGATAGTTATTCCAGCAGAGGCTTTGATAATTTGTGCCAGGAACAAAGGTAGCTGGACCAGTCAAGTTGCTTCGCTTCTCTGCAGCTCAGTTTTCCTTCCTGTAAAATAGGCCGAGCTGTATAGTTAAGCACTGGCTGGGGGCAGAAAGACTAGAGTCCAAAGGGCTGATGGCTCTTGGCAATGACCCACCTAACCCTTTGCTGACCAAGCTGGAGAGGCAGCAAGAAGGGCCCTGAAAATGGGTTAAAGAAGGAGCGGCTCAGAGACCAAACATCACTAAATATTTTCTCCTTTTTTGGGTCGTTGCTCTAGATCACCACTTCCTGGAGACTATATTCTAAACTTTGCTGTGATGGATGCGAGGTCCACGTGCCCACGAGCTCCAGAGGAGCCCAGATGTCACCCTGGGGGAGGGACTCTGCTTTTACCTTGCTATTTTAAGCAGCGAGTTTACAATAATGGATGGGAGAGAAAGCAATGGGGCTGGAACAGCGTGGGAATGGCCTGGGAGGGTGGGGCTGCTGGGGCTCCCCCTGAGGAGCCTGGGGTTCCATCTTGTCAAGGGTGGGACCTCAGCCAGCCTCCACTCTGCTTTATCCTGCAGCAGCTGACACCTCTTAGTGCTTGTCTGACTTAATTCGTTTCTGTTTTACTTTGCTTTCTGACCCAGGGACTGACTCAAGGTCTTTCTTGAAGAGCAGGAGGTGAAGGAAAGGAAGTGGAGGTATTTCTGATGCGACTTTGGAATTCCATGGTCCTAGAATCCTATGGGATGGGGCCCTCAAATCCGTGGTTTGTTGTGATTAGGAGGAGATCAGGATTTCAGGGACTCCCAGGGTTGGAAAAGGCCCCTGAAGTGGGTTAGGAATCCTATGACCCTTGCCCCAGCCTTTGATGAAACTCTCCCAGGAATGGGGAGCTCATTACCTTAAAGAGTAGCCCATTTCATTTTCCGATGGTTCCAACCACTAGAAAGTTTTCCCTTGCCTTGATCTCACCTTTCAGTCATTGGCCGTGCATCTACCCTTCGGGGACAATAGAATTACATGAATGGCTTTCAAATATCTGCAAAGAGGTTTTATTTCTTCCTGTACCTTCTCTTTTCCAGGCTAAAGGTCTTTAGTTCTTTAAACACAAATTCTTGTCCTGCTTCCCCTTTTCTTTTGGCGGTACGCTGGCCTCTCACTGTTGTGGCCTCTCCCGTTGAGGAGCACAAGCTCTGGACACGCAGGCTCAGCGGCTATGGCTCACGGGCCCAGCCGCTCCGTGGCATGTGGGATCTTCCCGGACTGGGACACAAACCCGTGTCCCCTGCATCGACAGGCGGACTCTCAACCACTGCGCCACCAGGGAAGCCCCTGCTTCTCCTCTTTTGAACATGCCCCAGATCATCTGAACCCCTCTTAGCATGCAGAGCACAATACACTTCATGTAGATTAAGACATAAAAGAAAAGTAGAACTGTCAGCTTCCCTGTTTTGGAAACCATACTCCTATTAAGACAGCCTGGATGGACTTCCCTGGTGGTGCGGAGGTTAAGAATCCACCTGCCAATGCAGGGGACATGGGTTTGAGCCCTGGTCCGGGAAGATCCCACATGCCGTGGAGCAACTAAGCCCGTGTGCCACAACTACTGAGCCTGCACTCTAGAGCCCACGAGCCACAACTACTGAGCCCTCGTGCCACAACTACTGAAGCTCGCGCATCTAAAGCCCGTGCTCCACAACAGGAGAAGCCACCGCAATGAGAAGCACACACACCGCAACCAAGAGTAGTCCCCGCTCGCCGCAACTGGAGAAAGCCCACGTGCAGCAACAAAAACCCAATGCAGCCAAAAGTAAATAAATAAAATAAATAAATTAAAATAAAATGAAACAGTATTAAAAAACAAAAAGACAGCCTGGAGACCTGCACACACATCACACATCATTTTAAGAGTTTTCTTTGGATGTGTAGTACACTTTTCTGGTAGAATTGGGGTTTGTGGGTATTCTTTTGCTACCCTCAAACTCTGTTACCATATGCTTTGCCCAGCACCACTGTTGTCACTGCAGCTGACATCCAAGTCAAGGTGATAGTAATCAATCACAGAGCTCACCTTTGGGCAAACCTGATGCTGAGTTTACTTATACAGAAACAACCTGAGCTGGGAGGCACAGCATGCCCTGGCCCCAGAGCTCTCATTCCCAAGAGCCAGGTTAAATCTGTCCTCTTGGCCATGACCCACCTTCCTGTCTCACCTCCTCCACCAAGCCTCCAGCTATTCTGTTCAGAGAAATTCAGTCAGCATTTCAGTGTTCATGATTCAGTCTAAACACCATTCTAGCGTGGACTCTTCCCTAAAACTGTATTCCACTCGTCCCAATTTCTGGAGTTAGGGACCCTTTTCTGGGACCCTGCAGCTTCTCACTTCCAAAGTGTTTACCTCCTAATCTTGTTTTCCAACTTCCTCCCACCATTGGACTCCGTGTTCCTTGAGGGCCAAGACCACATTTTCATCATCTTTATGGCAGAGTAGGTGTGAGTGTTGGTGGTGAAGGAATGAATGACTCTGCTCACAGATCATCTTCTTGAAATGAGATTTCTTGAGCCGACCAGCAGGGGTCACCCCAACTGTTTCAGAGCTGAATAGGGCTCCCTGTCCACCGCAGAGAATGACAAAAGCCAAGATGGTGGTCACAATGACTAAAACTCCGGGGCTAAAGTTCTCCAGTTCTTTAAATACAAGTCAACAAGCGTTTCTGGATGAACCTTCTGGGTATCTGTGATCAATAAGACCCCTTGCCTGCCTCAGGGAGCTCAGTCAAGAGGTGTGTGTTAGCTGGGGGCGTCTGTCAGAGCTGTGACTGATGCCACATCTGAGCTGCACCACAGCACTCTGGCTCTAGGGCCTTTGCAAGCCATTTCTGTGGTACAGGAAGAACACCTGGTGTCCTGGGCGATGGCAGGGCTTCCTGGCTTCTCCTCCTGCAGCCTCCAGCAGACAGCATCTTGCATAGGACCCAGGGTATAGTGGATACTCAGTAAATGGCAATGTCCTCCATTTGCCCTGTGTGTGTCCCAGCAGCCCCCTGACTGCAGCCGAGGGCAGGGTCTGAGGACGACATCTGCCTCTGGTGCCTTTCATCTGCTGTCTCCTAGAGCAGCTCCTTCAAGGAACCTCTGAAGTTGCAGAACCAGGCCAGTTGTTGGTTTTTCGGGTCCCTGGAGGTGTCATCCATCCCCCTAGGGCAGGGGACCTAAAGGAGTTTAGGGGTGGGAAGAGCCCAGGCAGAGCCCTCTGGACCTTCTGGGCTGCAGGTAGCCTCTGGGAGCACCTACTCCATGCTGGGTGCTCTTTTCATCCTAGGGACAGTCCCACATGGGAGGCGTTCTTATCTCTGTTCCCCTGACGAGGAAACCAAGGCTCAGAGGTGAAGCAAACGTTCAAGGCTACACAGCCAGTGAGTGGCAGAGTGAAGACTCAGATCTAGGTATCTGGTTCCAAAGCCTGTGCTCTATCTACTATTTCTGCTCTCCTGCCTCTCCAGATGGAGACCTGACATGACTGGCCCCCTTTTCTAAGAGGAAGCAGAGGAGCCAGACCCATTGGCTCAGGTTTATTGGAGAGATTTTGGTCCTACACCTCTTGACTGGCAAGAAACATGAAAGTGTGAAAGCGCAGTTAGTACTTACAAGTAACAGTCGTTAGTAGTTACAAGTTAGTACAAGTAGTTACAAGTTAGTAGTTACAAGTAAACCCAGTTCAAACTGACTTAAACACTAAGAGACTTAATTGTTTCTGTAACTGGCTAGTTCAGAAAGAGTTTCAGCTGCAGGTGAGCTTTGATCAGGGCTCCAGCTCCGTTTCTCTGCAGATCTCCTGGGTCTGCTCTCCTCTGGGTGTGTCAGATTTCTCCTCAGTCTGACCTTCCTTGTGGAAGGAAAATGGCATCTGCAACACCAGGTCTCACATCTGCACACTCCACCACCCGGAGCAAGAGAAAGCATCTGGGTCCCAGAGCATTGCCACATGCTCATTGGCTTAGGCTGGACCCATTGTCTATCCCTGAGCCAGTCACTGAGGCAAGATGGATGAGATTATGCTGACTGGAGTCAACCCCGGCCAGGCCTTACCCCATGGGGAGGGTTAAGTGTAGCTTTGGGGAAGCAACCCAAGGTTGCTGAGGGCAAGCACTGCACAAGGCACAGGAGACTCACCCTGGCTGAGCCTCCAGACTGATGACTTTAGCAGGCCTGACAGGTCCAATGAGAGCTGTCCTCAGGTGAGAGAGCCCTGTACTGAGGGTTAGAAGAGCTGCTGAAGGGCATGAGGTGAGCCATGGGGCAGGAAGTTGGGAGACACCATCCTTTCCTCCTCCCCCACCTGGCCAAGCAAGGCTGTGTGGTATAGTGGCCTCCAAATCAGGGAGATCTGGATTCAAATGCTTCGTTCTTTGTATGATTTGGGCAAATGACTTCTACTCTCTGAAGCAGTTCTCTCATCTATAAAATGTGAATAGTAATGCCTGCATCAGGGGTCATCGTGAGGATTAATTTAGGTGATGTCGGTAATGCTCCTAGGATAGTGCCTGGCACCCAGTAGCTGCTCAACACATGTTTGACAAATACAAGTCTGGCTCCCAATGGAGTGTCCTCCATCGGCTATGGCTTTGAGGAGTTCGAAGCACTCTTCTCCCTTCTGGCATCGCTGTGTTTACTGTATGGCCCAAATTAGATGCAAAATCTCTGGATCACCTCTGACTTTGTAAACAGAGCCAGGGAGCAGGAGGAAATGCAATTCCAAACGCCCTTGGCTCGCCTACTTTAGCCCTTGTTGATGCAAACTCAAGCAGGCTCTCTCCGCGGCTTGTGGCACCTGGAAACGGGACCCAGCATGGGTCAGGGATGGGAGTGGATTTGACTTGTCCTTTTGGCGTCTCCTCAGCCTGTGGAGCCCAGGCCTCCTGGAGGATCTTTGGGGCTGACGCAGCGGAGGTTCCGGGCACGCGCAGCCACTCCCACCAGGAGGCTGCCATGCCCCACATTCCCGAGGACGAGGAGCCCCCTGGAGAGCCGCAGGCAGCCCAGAGCCCGGCCGGCCAAGTAAGTGCCTCCCCCCTGCCTGCAGCCCGCCCGGCCCGGGCCATGCCAAGCGCCCTGGGCTGAGGCCACATGGTTTGCTGACAGCCTGTGCAGGCTGCAGTGGGCCTGGGGAAGGTGTGCGGCTTCCACGCCGAGGAATACATATCCAAAGGTCATTTGAATTGACCAAGGTCCCCACACATCCTGAGAGTGCTACCTTGTAGGCTGTGTCTGACTGAGGCCCCCTGGGAAGTCACACCACCCTCCTAGGCTGGAGAGAGGCTCGGAGGAGCACCGTCAGCATGGAAGGCCTCACGTATCAGGGTCGTGGGCACAAGCACCAGGTCACTTAAAGTGAATCCGCTTGAAATGAAGGTCAAAATTCCTCAGTAAATAGTGAAAAAGGGTTTCAGTGAGACTTTATTATAAAAAAGGAAATGATGAAAGTGAATTAAAGGGGCTCATTGAGGTTGTATTGTACAAATGAAATGGTGAAGACAAGTTATTTTTAGCTGTACATATTACAAAATATAGCTTATACGCTAATTTTTAGAATGAACAAAGAATCTTAATCAAGTGCGTTGACTTTGGTATTGGTATATTTTTTATGCCAACAAAATGAGCTTTTCATGTGTTATTACAACCTTCACATTTTACTTTATAGCACCTTCATTAAGAGATTCTGTTTGTTTAATATTTAAGGGGTTCATTCATTTTCCTAAGGACCTCTTTCAATCCCTCAATATTCAAATCATTCCCTCATGAAGAACCCATCTTGCCATCATCCTCACAATTCTGACTCCATTCGTTAACTGGTCCGGCTACATCTGCTGCTCATTGGTCTAAGACCTTGTACGTGAAGTTCTCAGACATGGTTTTGTGAACTTCGTGAACTTTGCAGTTGGTTTGCACTGAACTTATATCATCCTGTTGTATCTGACACTTCTCCAAACTGCCCTGAGCCAGAGGGATAGACACTTGTTAAGTGAGGGAAGCTTGTACGAGTGAGCGTTAATTTGACAAGTGGGCAGATTCTTAGTGAATAGTTTCATGTTATGATGACATTTGTTTTCTTTACACATCATAACTGTGGGAACTAAGATAATAAACGCTTAGAAAAGAATGGCCTCTTGTATCCCCACATCCCGAGCTCATGGGATTGAGATGTTGCAGAACTTGGCAGCCTTGGAGAGCCCTTGAATTTCGAAACGACAGCGAGCCAAGCCCCCATGCCTTTGGCTGCAGGCACCAGCTCAGGTCTTTATTGAGCCCCGCTCCCAGAAATGTCCTGGGCTACGGTAGGTGCTGCTTGCCAGTTGCTTTCAGTGGCTCTGAGCTGTTCCTCTGATCCTCCACGGGTGACATCTAGTCTTCCCCGAACTGTGTGCTCTGCTATTGCCCCCTTCCTGCAGCTGCTGTTCCTTACCACGTGTGGACCGTTCCCCCAAAGAGTTGCCAACAGTGGACTGTAAGGTTTAACCAACAAAAAAATTTCCTAGTCTACTGAAAGCTTGGAGTTTAAAGAAGGGAAGGACAACACAGAGTAAAATACATCTGGATTCAAACGTCACGGCTCCCTATCCTCAGGTCACAACTTTCCCAGGTTCTGTCCCCTTAGCATCCCCACCTCCCAGTCCTGGACCACTTCTTGCTGTGGTCATCCCTGACCCCTTCCACTTTACTCACAATGATAGTGCCCTTAAGCCGGACTCTGATGCAAAATCTAGCTCCCGAATCCTGGGCAACTCCCCCAAACAGCTGCCATGGCCTGCTCCCCAAGAATATAAGTGTTCCTAAAAAATAAATAAATGAAAGATGGGCAAAGAGGTAACTCCACCCTCAGTGAAGAGATCCTTTTACAATGAGTTCAGTTCCTTTTGGTTCCAAACCTCTAATTAAAAGACACTTCAAACCTTCTCCTCAAGAAACACAAAACCAGACAGCACAAAAGCCCGCTGGCCTTTCTGACCATCATGGCTTCAAACCACATGTAGGTGTAGCTTCACTGGGTCAGAGGTGAGGGTGAGTCTCTAGGGCTGGCCAAGCAGGGGGAGGGCCCCATGAGCTCACCACACAGCTGAGGGTTAGAGACCCCTAGCTGAGCAGCAGAAACTCCAGATTCTGGGCCCCCACAAGCTCACTTTCCCTGTGACCTTGAACCAGGACCAGACTTCTATACTATAGACCATGGGCCCTCATGGTCTCTGAAGGTCCTTCAAATGCTCAAGGAAGACAAGATAATAAAGAGACTGTTCGCAGGTCCCAATAGCCTCTGCATTGCCAGCATCCAGCGGGAGAAGGACCCACGAGGAACTCAGGTGAGCTGGAGCCAGGATGCCCAGATCCTACGAGGGAGGGCCATTAGCACAGGATTTAAGAACGTGGACTCTGGAGTGAGACCAAGCTGGGCTCAGGTGACAGCTCCTCCACATCCTGGTCAAGAGACGTGATGCTGAGTCTGTTAACTTTACTGTGCCTCTGGTTCCTCGTCTCTTCCCCGGGCAGGTGTTAGTGGCTGCCTCCTGGACTCTTGTCTGTTCAGCCCAACCCTTGAGGACCTTCTTTGGCCTGAGGGACCATGGAGCTGGGGCAGGTTAGACCCCAGACTGAAGGCCACATCAGATTCAGTATTATTTTATTCTCTGCCGCGACTGACAGGCACTGGGCCCCCCCTGAGTTCTCCAGAAGCCCACGGGCATCATCAGTGAAGGGGATCTCCCTCTACTGCACCTATCAGATGACCCACATTGGGCTTCTCGGGCAGCCACAGCCTCAGGGGAGGGTCAGGCCTTGTGAGTTGGGCCAGAGCCTCCGGGGGCTGAATCCTGAGTCCCTGGGAGCAGCAGAGGCCATGGAAGCAGGGTTGGCCAGGAGGGCTGGCTGGAACTCCCAGTACTGTGTGAATTCCCACTCTGTGAAGCAGGCAAAGAACAGAGCATCCTTCTGACTTTACGGCTCCCCGGGGTCCAGCCCTACTTCCGGTTCCTCAGGCCCCAGCCCTCATTTCCCATCACTGACACGAGCACTAGCTGAGGCCTTCTCACACAAAAACACAAAAGCTGTAGGCCTAGATCCTGTTTTTCTTTCTGCACGTACACGTGCATACACACACACGCGCACACACATGGATGCTAAACACACTTTCACACACACACAGACTCACACAGACAGACGCAGACAGAAAGGCAGACCCTTTAGGACCCTAATCAGAGGCTGTAATCAAAACCCACAAAGAAACAAAGCCTCCTGACAACGCACTGTGTGAGACTGCGTCCTGAGCAGTGTTTCCGGGGTTGGCCCTTGAGCAGGGAGGCGCTTAACGGGATGAGCTTGTAGCCAAGAGGTTCTTGCAGGAATAGAAGCTGTCAGGACAGAAGCCTAGGACCTTAGGGGACCCCAGAATGACAGGCCATCAGAGCTAGAAGGGATCTCAGGTCACAGGAAGTCCCTTCCTCCAAAGGCAGGCAAAATTCTGCATACTGTAAGTCACCAGGGAGCTTGTTAAACCCAGATTCCTCCGCCGACCTAGACCGGCTGAACCAGAGTCCCCTGGGGCGGGTCTGTGCCGTGGGTCTGTGCTGGAGCCTGACTCTCCCTCAGTTCTGCCCTCACAATGGCCTGTCGTGGGGTGAAGACCCGCAGATGCAGGACGGCAGTTTTTGCATCTTCCCAGAGCCTCTCTGCCTCTGGTTCCTCCAGACTTTGCTGCCATGACAGCCTTCAGAGCGCCCTCCCACCCCTCCCCTGCACACATACCAGCCTGCCTCTGCCTCACCGTGGGGCACCAAGCTTGGCTCCAGGCCCCAGGGGCAGTGTGACCAGGACACCGGCTGTTTCCAGGCCTGTGGCCAGCAGCCATATCAGAAACTCCACTCACTGGGACCACATGGCCTCCTCAGAGGGGCCTTACAAACCTGAAGGTGTGGGGAAGTTCTTATTAGCTATAAGAGCCCAATTTTCACTGGCTCTCACTTCCACCTGGAAAACCCCCCATCCTCCTCCAAGGGTTTCAGGAAGCCCCCAGGGACAGGTCAGTGCTAGCTCATAAGCCGACCTCACATCCTTCACATCACCTGCTCCAGCATCCCTCTGACCACCACTCCCTGACCATCCCCTCACCCTGTTCTCCATTATCCGCAAAACCACTGATAATAGCTAACCTCGTGCCAACAGGTACTACACTATTAACTCATTTAACTTCCAAGCCACCTTATGAGGTAGGTATCATCACTCCCATTTCATAGCTGAGGAGACTGACGCACAGAGAAGTTAAGTACCTTCCTCCAATGTCACACAGCTCGTAAGTGACAGGCCCAGGATTTGAACCCGGGCAGCCTGGCCCCAGAGCCCACACTCTTAGTCTCTGCCCTGCTCTGGGGCCTCTGTGAGAGGTGCCTGGACCAAGGGAATACTGTCCTCTGCTCCCAAAACCACTTGTTTGAGAGGGCCAACCTGGGCCCTGCAGAACTCACAACCACATAAACCCCAAAGCACCACAGCTTGTGGCCCTGGGTCTCACCAAATGCCTTCTGCCTACCATCCTCTCAGGTGTGTGAGCCCGTGCAGCCAGGGGACGAAGCTCCATGTCACACATCTTGCCCAAAACCCAAGCTGCCCCTGCCCCATCGTGTGCAACCCCCTTCCTCATTCTCCTTCAGTCGGATGATGAAACAGCCCAATTGGATGGGTACTGACCCCTAGAAACCCAGGCCACTGTGCTGTTCCTGCTTCAGGCCACAAACACCTGTTACTCTCACCCCAGGCCTCCCTGAGCACCTACTTGGTACTGCACTTTCAGATCCTCTAGACAGAAATTGATGCTTAACCCTCATATACAGCAGCGTCTCGTTGACAAGATCACTGCAGCGCTCAACTAACCAGTGGCATCCCTACTCTCAACCCAACCCCTATCCCTAAATGTTAGTTAACTAAAAATGAGGTTGGAGTGTTTTGTGGAGAAGCAGCCCTCTGCATGCGACCCTAAAAGGAAGGGATCCGTTTGTGGAGCTCTTAGAAGCTCT